GTTTGAGGTCAGCCTGGTCTACATAGTGAGTTCCAGGCCAGCTGGGGCTACAGGGAGACCCTATCTTAAAAAGAAAAAAACAAAACAAAAAAAAAAAAACCCCACAACAGTTCAGTGTGATTCTCCAAAATAATTATTTGAAAGTTTCATAAAAGCTTGATTTACAAATTATTTATTATTTGTAGCTTATTTTTATCTTTTTGAGACCAGCACTGTGTGGTGGCACAGGCCTGTAATCCACTCAGGAGGCAGAGGCAGGCAGATTTCTGTGAGTTCAAGGCCAGCCTGGTCTATACAGTGAGTTCAGTCCAGCTGGGGCTACAGGGAGACCCTGTCTCAACAAGAAAACATTTACATGGCCTACTTTCTGTTTAGCATTGAAACACAGAATTAGTAAGCAGCATACTTTAATACAAATTGATTATTAATCTCTAACATAAAAATAACCTTTTAGGTAATGTGCAAGCAGTCTTATGCAGAAATGGAAAAGGGTTCTGCCTAACCAAAGAACACACCACACGAAACAGCGAGGAGAGAAGAAGAGTCCTTCAGAGCGGAGCTGTCATCACTTCCACCGAGACCTATGGGCTCCTAGAAGGGCACAACATAACCACTAGAGGCCTTGGGTTCCATGGAAACCTTAGGCTGAAGAAGTTCATTATCCCAGCACCTCAGACCATCTCCGTCCCTATAGACGACCTGTGTCAGTTTCTCATCTTGGCCACAAATGGACTCTGGGAAGTTTTGGATAAGGAGGAGGCCACTGCACTAGTGATAACCCTGTTTCAAGTCTATAAAGACGCATGTGCTTCTGACATGGACAACAAGTCTCTGTCATCTGAAGAGCCCTGTTCTCCGTCAGATAGTAACATCCATGTACTGTTCCAGTACAAACAATCTGAAGAACGCACGTCAGCTATGGAGATAACGAAAAAGGTACCTGAGTCAGTACATGTAGAGAGGCTTCCTCCAGAAGTGACTAGCAACCCTGGTGACAAGAGAGACACCAACAGATTCTCCAGGATAGATGGTGCTCAAGGCAGCGAGAATGTGCCACGTGCTGTTGTACAATGCGCCAAGAGCTTCTATGAAGGTGTGTCAGAGTACGTCAGCCGGGCGCTTGTGAATGCAGCCCTAGAAGGTGGCTCCAGAGACAACATCACGGTCATGGTGGTGTTTCTCAGTGGCAGTGAGTACCAGTTGCTGACATGAAAAATAAAGTCCCAGTGATCCAGAACAGCAAGGACAAACAACAGGTCCGGGACACATCTTCCATGAAGCAGGTTCTAGGATGCTAAGTGGCTACTGTGTGCATCATTTTTGAAAATGTCAAGACAGCAGAAGTAGGTTAGCTATCAGTAAGTTAAGCTCACTGCTGTACGTCAGAGAAGAGAAACTCGGTGTAGCTTTTTAGACCACTTTATTCCAACCTGAGCACCTCAATATAAAACTAAACACTGGTGAACTGTTTTCCTTACCAATTCTGAGTTACTGTAAAATGTACAAGTTCTGCTAGCAGTTCAACACTTAAATAGATTAAATCATCTGACACATGGTAGATTTCATATAATGAAAATACCTAAAATAATTAGTGCAATATACTGAATTGATCAAAATAAAATGGACTTTGAAAAACAAGGCTGCAAGGTTGTTACTAACATTGTAATACTTATGTTACAATCACAGGTACACCGTTTATTAAGGTTCTAGCCTGTAGGAACAACTGAAGCCCCTTTCTCTCACAGGGGGAAAGAAATAATTAGCTGTTTTAGTAACTGTACATTTTGTATACTTTTAAGCAGCTCTTAAATATTACAGAAAAAAATAAACATATGGAGACTACAATGCAGTACCCTATTTACAGTACAGCTGAGGATCATATTTAAAATAATCAAGTTTGAATGTACATAATTGTTAGTGCACTGACTATACCATGTCCAAAGAGAACAAGAGCCCCTCCCTGCCCCAAACAAAAGACCTATACGTAATGGCCAACAGTGATTAAACAGAAATTACAGACACCTGGGTTGGTTTCAGTTTCGTTGAAGAGCTCACAAGGAAGGGAACACCATTCAATAAAATTCATTTAGCAGTTTTTATATTTGTAAAACATGACAGGGTTACGTTTGACTTTTTTTAAACCCCATTAAAAAAAACAATAGTAAGACCGAGTATAATTTAGGTGCTGCTAAGAATCTTCTTTCTGGAGACATGGGACCATGTTCTTGGGATCAAGTTATTAAAATGTGGAATGTATACTTTTTAGATAATAGAAGAAATGATCATTTGCTTGAATACTGTTGCTAAGCATAAATATTGAGTCTTCTAAAAGCCCACATTAGTAATCTCCACATCTTTCACATGTGACTACTGTCCCAGTCAGGAGAAAGTGGATGGTTCCTGTGGGTCCAGATGGTCATCTGCCTTTATCCCTAATGGTGAGAAAGCATTCCCTCAACCTCTCCAGAGGAACAAGTTGCACACACTTCTCACTTCCCTTTTCACTGAAACATTAGTTGGAGGGACACATGCATGTTATTAAAAATTAAGTTCAAAACACTCAAAATAATTCTGTATTAGAAACTTGATTCTATCATAAGTCTCTTTTTGGAAGTCATACTGGGCCGGCTAAAAGCTCCAACTCCATGGTTATTGACATTTAGGAAGCAGAATACTCCAGCTAGTTCAAACTGGAGGTTTAGTTACTACAACACTGACTCCTGGTTGGTTGTGCAGGCTCAGTAAGGTCTACTCCTCTTCCTCTGGCCGAATTTGCTCCTGGATTCTGTGGTTCATTCTTTGGCAGCTTTTTAGCTGAGAAAAATGATCAAAGTAAACAAAATTATAATATTCACATTAAAAGCACTTTCACCTGCTCATTTATGATAGTATTCTCCAGTTGGGCTACCCCATTTCATGTGACTGTGGGTTTGTTCTTTTCAAATGTTGACCAAATGCCAACCAAAACAAAACAACAAAACCCCACTAGTTGCTGAACTAAAGGAGTAGGTGGGGACCAGCTGTAGACAGTTAAATCTTAACTAGATTTCCCTAGTAACACCATGTATTTAATGATCATCAGTCTCTCTCTCTCTCTCTCTCTCTCTCTCTCTCCCCCCCCCCTCATGCTGGGGCCATGTACACACTAGGCAAGTGCACTATGGCTGAGCTATGTGCCTAGACCATTTTGTAATCATTAATTAAACTATTATACAAAATCTGTTGGGGTGGAGAGGTATGCCTGTAGTCCTAGCTATTTACTCTGGGTGATCACTTGAGTCCCAAGAGTTTGAGACTAGCCTGGGCAACATATTGAAACTTCACTTTGAAGAACAAAGGTACACACTAGGCAAGTGCACTATGGCTGAGCTATGTGCCTAGACCATTTTGTAATCATTAATTAAACTATTATACAAAATCTGTTGGGGTGGAGAGGTATGCCTGTAGTCCTAGCTATTTACTCTGGGTGATCACTTGAGTCCCAAGAGTTTGAGACTAGCCTGGGCAACATATTGAAACTTCACTTTGAAGAACAAAGTCAAGCCCGGTGTGGTGGTGCACACCTTTAATCCCAACATTTGGGAGGCAGAGGCAGAGGCAGGTGACCTTTGTGAGTTTAAGGCCAATGTGGTCTCAATAAGAGTTCCAGGTCCTGTCTCAAAAACACCCAAAAAACAAAAACCAACAACAACAAAAACCAAGCCAATTGAGTAAGACTTAAAATCCAAGTCAATGGGTAACAGCCAGTTACTCAGTTTCTAGAAAAGCTCACCTACCTCTTACCAGGGCTCTCTAGGCTGTCCTAAACATTTCTGAGAACAAGTCATGACCCTGACCCCAATCAAGCCTGCCCTTTATGACATTCCCAACCCCTTATGGCTCTCACCAGTAGTTATACCTAACATAAATGGAATCACTTCTAAAGGTCTAGCCTCTAAAGCTGTTCCAAATGTCATTATAGCCGTGACTATGACCATCAAATAGGGACAAAGTTTCCAAATAGCACTAATAGCTATAGTTTAAGCTATGTTCCGATCCCCAAGTCCCCTGGGGGATGCTGGATTTGATGTGAGGGGAGAGAGTAGTACGTTAATATTCCTGAAAGCAAATGCTCCTTCCAGTCTGAACTCCCAGTGAATCCTGGATCTTTGTTGTTTTGTTTGTGGTGTTAGGCAGGGCTTGCTAGACAAGTTCTCTACCACAAAGCTAAACCTCCAGCCTACATTTTTCTTTTTTTTGTCTTTTTGAGACAGGGTCTCCCTATAGCCCCAGCTGTCCTGGAACTCACTCTGTAGACCAGGCTGGCCTTGAACTCACAGAGATCCGCCTGCCTCTGCCTCCGGAGTGCTGGGATTAAAGGCGTGTGCTACCATGCCTGGCACGCATTTTTCTTTAGAGAGGCTGGATCCCCCGAACTGGGGTTATGGATGGTTGTTAGCTGCCATGTGGGTGCTGGGATTAAAACCTGGGTCCTCTGCGAGAGCAGTGACTTCTCTTAACTGCTGAGCTGTCTCTCCAGCCCCAGCCTGCATTTCTTAACCCTTTATTGTTTTGTTCCTATGTATTCCACATCAACCCCCATCACCCATAGCATCTTGGATACTGGGCAGCAGGTCCCTGAGCACTGAAGTTTGGGAAGAGAGCCTTCCCCGGGCCTCCTCTAGGAGTGGCCCTAGAGACAGTATCATCAAGTGTTATATGATAGCACATTCTCAGTCAAATGCCCTGGAAGTGGACAAACACTGATCTCAGCAAACGCTGATCTAAGCTAGCAGTGTAATTATAACGAACACCTTGGGTTGGGTTTTGGAATGAGCATACATTGCCCTCTTTGGTCTACTTCTCCAAGAACTTTCTGTAATTACATCTGAGTGAGTACAGGAGGCCAAAGGAAATAAACATCAATGAGGAATTTTTTGTCCTTGAATTGGATTGTGCTATATGCTATGTGATTTGAAACACAAACTTTACGAAAAACCACAGTTCCATTTACACTTGGTATTTCTTTAAAAGACTTCAAGAACACTGCACAGTGTACCACAGAGCTACATCCCTGACCCTAGTGAAGTCCCCAGGTCAGTGATGTCTTAAAAACTTAAAGGAGGATTAAAGTGTAGCCCAACTGAACATGGAAGTTCCATGCCATCTTATAATCCCAACACTTGGGAGGCTGAGGTAAGAGGATTTGGAGTTCCAGACCAGTCTTGGCTATACAGTGAGACTGTCTGAAAAAAACCAAACACGGGCTCAGTGGGGAAAGTGCTTGTTATGCAACCATGATGATCTGAGGTTGGATCCCCAGAACCCACATAACAACAAGTACCCATAACTCTAGTACTAGGGCTGATGGGGTGTGAGGGAGAGGAGAAAGGCAGGCCCTGGGGTCTCTGGTGAGTTCAAGGTTCAGTGAGAGATAGCCGGGCGTGGTGGTGCACACCTTTAGTCCCAGCACTCGGGAGGCAGAGGCAGGAGGATCTCTGTGAGTTCGAGGCCAGCCTGGTCTCCTTAGTGAATCCAGGCCAGCTGCGGCTACAGGGAGACCCTGTCTCAAAAAGACCAAAAACCACAAAAAAACCCACGAAGGTCTAAGTCATGTGCTGAGATCGAGTGTCTCCACCTGCCTGCTGAGGACATGGTCACTGACCAGAGCACTCACTGCATGCCTGCTACTTGGCCCGGTAGTAGTCAGCTCAATGATGAGACTGCCTTGGGATCCCAGTGTTTCTGTTCAAGAAACCCTTATGTACTCAGAATGCCTGAAAGCACAGGAGTGCAAGGTTACCCTCAGCCACATGAGCCTCACTGCAAAAGGAAAAAACAAAATCCCACAAATCTTCCAAGTCAGGCCTGGCTGTGCACACCTATAACCCCAGCACTCCAGACTCCAAGTTCTAGGCCAGCCTGGATACTTACCAAGACCATATTTGAAAAAGAAAACAAAATGAAAGTAAAAAAAAAACACCACCTACCACCACCAAAAACCCAGACCCAAGAAAACCTATCTTCAGGGAGGGGGGACAGTGCAGCACTGGCCTGGCAAAGACGCTTGGCCCAATTCCCAGCCCAAGTGGAAAAGAATCTTCTATTTATGAAAACTGGGAAGGGAAGAGAATTTGTGCTAGTTTTGCTGTTCCACCTCTAACTGGAAAAACTATGGCCACAGAATGTGCTACATAACTAAGATAGAAAAGGCAGGTCATTTTCCAGTTAAACAACCAGAAACAAATGGACAAGGCATTAGATGAAGTGGTTTTGGGAATCCAGAGGGTCTGGAATGTATTCCTCACAAATAAGAGGTATTTCTATATAATAAAAGCAGGTAGTAACAGGAAATCCTGTATGTGCTCAGAAGTTTCAGTAAAATCTTCGGGAGAATCTACCTAATATTCACAAATGAAGACAAATATGGTGATATTCCTGGGGCTGGGTGCAGCTTAGTGGTAGGCACAGAGATTGCCTTCTGGTCTGAGGCCTAGGCCTAATTCCCAGTACAACCAAAACCAAAACCAAAGAAAACAACCAAAAGGGCCTCTTCTGTTCTCTGATCAGTCGACAGGTTCTCATGCACAGGCCGACCTCAAACTCACGTTACTACGGAAGACCTTCTCCTGGTCCATCCTACTGCCTCCACCTCCTAAGTGCTGGGATCATAGGAACACTGCCGCCGTACCCTGCTTTCCAGTCTTAACCATATTACTAACAAAAACTGCTTGGTGGAAGGGATCTAGTACAATCAATTAAAAAACGGAGTAATTTTTAGGAGATTGACCAAATGTTCCATGTGTTTTGCTTGTTTTTATCGTCTGAAAAATGTTATTGATCTTACCTATTGCCATGAATATTTCATTTACATTCATTGATGTCTTAGCTGATGTCTCCATGAATAATAAACTGTTGTCATCTGCATAGGATTGTGCTTCCTGTTCATTAAAAAAAAGCAAGATTTATCCCTTGAACGCAGAGTATACCTGCTTTACCTCCTAGAAAAAAACGTCCTTATCTGACACCTCCAACCAGCAGCTGTAGAAGCAGCCACGGCAGAGCGGCAGCAATGTGCACAGCGCACAATGGAGCATTTTCTTCACCACCGTAAAACTTTTAAAAGGAAGATTTTGCTTATTTGTTGAGACAGGGTCTCACTATGCAGCACTGGTTGGCCTGAAACTTGCTATGTAGATCAGGCTGGACTCAAACTCACGGAGATCTGCCTGCCTCTACACGCTGACTGCAGGGAGTAAGCAGACACCCACACCCAGTTACGTTTTATTTTCAATGATGTGTCTATGTGTGTGTCTGTACATGTGAGTGCAGCCAGAAGACAGCATCACATCCCCTAGAGCTGGAGTTATGGGAGGCTGGAAGCCACCAGACATGGGTGTTGGGAATTGAACTTGTGACCTCTGGGAGAGCAGTATGCGTGCTTAACCACTAAGCCATCGCTCTAGCCCTGCACCTTTAAAAATTTTTTCAATTTTATGTGTATGAGTTTATTGTAAGTTAGTGCACCTGTGTCGTGCAATGCCCTCAGAGGTCAGACGAGGGCATCGGATCCTCTGGAGCTGGTATGGATGGTTGTTAGCTGCTATGTGGGTGCTGGGAATGGAACCTGGGTCCTCTGCAAGAACAGTCAGTGCTCTTAACCGCTGAGCCATCTCTCCAGTTCTGAGAGACAGTTAAAAAAAAAAAAAAGTCTAATATTTGTTTTCTTTTTAAATGATCAGGATTTACTCTATATTTTATCAGGGGACATTCTACAGTAATTTTTTTTTTTTGAACCCCTTTGGAGGTGCTGATTGGACTCCAATATCTGCTGCTATTATTAGGTATTGCTTCTGGGAAACCCAGACTAAGACAGAAAGCAACCATTTATACATCCAACAAGTATTTTGTTTGAAATTTTATTTATTATTTTTATTTTATGTATATGTGTGTACTGCCTGCATGTAGGTAAGTACACCCAGGTCGTGCAATGCCCGAGGAAGACAGAAGAGGCTGTTGGATCCCCTGGGGCTGGAGTTACAGACAGTTGTTAGCTGCCATGTGGGTGCTGGGATTCAAACCCCGGTCTTCTGAAAGAACAACCATTGCTCTTAACCGCTGAGCCATCTCTCCAGTCCCAGTAGGGGACATTCTAAATCAGCTATGTTTTAATCTTATTTTTACATTTACTTATTGTGGTGTGTGTAGAACACACAAGTGGAGGCCAGAGGACAGCTTATAGGAGTCTGTTCTCTCCTCCCACCATATTGAGTTCTGGGAATCAAACTCACAGGTCTTCAGGGTGATGGCAAGATCCCACTGAGCCATCTCACTGGCAAGTTTTCTTTTTTCCTTCCTGTTTTTGAGATGGGTTATGTTAACTATGCAAATCAGTCTGGTTTAAAACTTATGGCAATCTGCTACCTCTATCTCCAATCACTGGATTATGGGCATGTGTCTCCATGCTTAGCTCAAACTAGTTTATTTATCGCTAATTAGTCTATTTATTGTATCTCACAAATGAAAGTGCAGGTGCCCATGGAGGCGAGAGGACATCAGATCCCTCGGAGCTGTGGTTATAGGAGGTTGTGTGCAGCCTACCAGGAGTGCTCAGAATGGAACTTGGGTCCTCTGAAAGAACAGTATGTGCTCTGAACTAATGAGCCACCTCTCTCCAACTTCTCCAACCAGTTTTTGGAGTCTTTCTTTCTGAACTCCACTTTAAGGACAGCTACACAAACCAACTTGCAGGCATACAAATGTTGGACACACACACACACACACACACACACTTCTGTACTGGTTTGTGGGAAAAAAATATATTTTGAGACAGGGTCTCACAGAGCCAAGGCTGACCTTTAACTCCTGGGCCTCTTGCTTCCCTCTCCCTTGGTTTTACAGGCATGTGCCACTATGCCTGGTTTACGTGGCGCCAACTGCTCTATTCCTAAGCTTTCCTTCCTATCAGGAAGAATACTTATATATTAGTACTTCATATTTATTTCTTAAAAATTTATTCATTTATTTTTACTATTTTCATGGCTTAAAAATTTACAAAATGCTTCAGCCAGCTGTGGTGGTGCATGCCTTTAATCCCAGCATACAGGAGGCAGAGGCAGGTAGATCTCAGTGAGATCAAGGCCAGCCTGGTCTACTCTGGCTACGGGGAGATCCCGTCTCAAAAAAAACAAAACCAAAACCAAAACCAAACCCAACAACAACACAAAAGTTGCTAAAAACTCGTGCTTTCAAATGTAAGCTAAATTTAACATACCTGGAAGTCAACAGCTCTTTTACTCGCTAGATCAGCCTTGTTTCCTGATAAAGCTATCACAATATTAGGACTTGCTTGCCTCTGGAGTTCTTTAACCCAGTTTTTTGCTCTTGCAAAGGACTCCTGTTAAACAAAGGAAAAGCTATTTGACACAGGCTCAAAAAAAAGAAGTATGTCTTATGAGACAACGCTTTAGAAGACTCTAAGGTAACCCTGTGGGAGGGAATTCTTAGGATTGGATCAACCTTATGTTCCACTCACAAAAGCTTTGGCAGAAAGACTACCCAGAGGATTTGCCAGTCTTTTAAGCAGATTCTGAATACCCACCTCATTGGTGATGTCGTACACAACTATGGCTGCCTGTGCTCCTCGGTAGTACATCGGTGCTAGGCTGTGGTAGCGCTCCTGGCCAGCTGTGTCCCATATTTCAAACTTCACTGTTGTGTCATCAAGACATACAGTCTGGGTTAGAAAAGCAGCTGAAAAAGAAAGTGGCTGTAATAAGCTTAACATTCTCCCAACTTTTTTGGGAGACTGCTTAAAAAGAAAATGTTCAGTGTGTACCATGGGTGTGGGAGTTCAGGCATGTGTCAGTCAGCACAGCATGGTGTAGGGTAGAGGTCAGAGGACAGATTCAGGAGTGGACTCAGGCCATAATCTTCCAAAGGAGGTACATTTACCGCTGAGCCATCTCAGCGGCCCCCCTCTACCTAGTGAGCCCGACACACTGCACAGCCGCATTTTACAGACTCATCCGCAGAGCCAGGGCTTCAAAGCGAGATAAACGCATTTCCTCACACGAGACCCACGCGGTGAGGTCAGACTGAAAAGTCCTCCTTCTGTTTGAAAGCCGTGTAGCTGGGTGTGGAACTTTTCCAGTTTGCACCAGATGTTGGCTCAATCCTCAACACAGCAAAAAATCTGCTACAAGGTTTAAGACTGTATTTCTCTTTTAAAAAATTTTATTATTTTAATTTTATGTGTATGAACATATTGCCTACATGCAAGTAGGTGCACCTGTGTTGTGCAGTGCCCGTGAAGGTCAGAACCGAGGGTGCTGGATCTCCTGGAACTGGAGTTACAGACTCATGTAGCTGTCATGTAGGTGCTGGGACTTGAACCTGGGCCCTCTGAAAAGAGTAGCCAGTGCTCTTAACCACTGAGCCATCTCTCCAGTCCCTAAGACCATATTTCTAATTGCTTTACAATTTAAGAAACAGGGTGAAATCTAACAGATTCAGTCCTGCATCCCTGATTTCAACCAAACACAGAATGAAAGCATTTGTGGGAAAAAAAGAACTTTGTGTACAGAATACTTTTACCATTGTTACACATCTTTAAAAATTACAGTAAAGCTGGGTGTGGTGGCGCACGCCTTTAATCCCAGCACTCGGGAGGCGATCCTCTGTGAGTTTGAGGCCAGCCTGGTCTACAGAGTGAGTTCCAGGCAGCTGGAGCTACAGGGAGACCCTGTCTCAAAAAGACCAAAAAACAAAAACAAAAACAGTAAAACAATTTCATAGCATTTCCACTGCTTTAGGTATTAGAAGCAATCTAGAGATGATTAAAAGTACATGGGAGGGGCTAGTGGTGTGGCTTAGTTGTGGTGGTGAATGCCTTTAATCCTAGCACTTGGAAGGTGGAGGCAGAGGCAGGCCCACAGAAACTGCAGCGGCCTACATAGTGAGTTCTAAGTCAGTTTACAGGAGAGTCTGTTTCAAAAACTTAAGCAAAAAGCCTTTAACCTCATGAGTGGCTGCAGGCTGGACCCAAATACAATGCTCTTATGATGTCAGCCCATTTACTTACCTTAGGGAGATGGGGCAGATAGCTGAAAACCAAGCCCTGTAGATAGTTGGGCACAGGTTCACACATTACATGATATTACATTTTATTTTTATGTTTATTTTTTATTTTTTGGTCTTTTTGAGACAGGATCTCCCTGTAGCCCCAGCTCTCCTGGAACTATGTAGACCAGGCTGGCCTTGAACTCACAGAGATCTGCCTGCCTCTGCCTCCCAAGTGCTGGAACTACAGGCGTGTGCCACCACGCCTGGCTAATAACTACATTTTATACTAGAAAATTCTTCTGGTTTAGTCCTAGCTCATCACCACCAAATTAATATCACATGACCTTTTACTTATGACATTCTCATTTTCGATATCATTACTTCAATACAGATTTAATTTGTTACATAGTCACCATTCACTACTACTTTTCATTTTCAAAACAATTTTGTGTGTCTGTGTATGCACAAGCACATGTGCACAGTTTAGAAGACAACTTTCAGGAAGTGGTTCTCTCCACTATGAGAACTGGAGCTCCAATTCAGGTCATTGAACCATTCCCTCACTCTCACTTTAAACATGGTACAGGGAGCTGAACTCCAGTCCTTTCCAAGAGGAGTAGACGCACTTGATCAAGGCAGCCCCTCCTATTCCTTACTCTAAGAATCCAATGGGATTTCACCATTTATTTGTGCTTTAGGTGGTCAGGCTTGACGGCAAGCCCCATCTGTGAAGTCAGAGGACAACTTGCAGGAGTCAGGTTTTCTCCCTCCACCATGTAGGTTATAGGGATTGCACTCAGGTTAGGATGGGTAGCAAGTATCTTCGCTTTTTTGATTCTAACTTTAACATTAACAAAGTACCATTTTAAAAGGATGTTTTAAGCTGGGTGTGGTGGCACACACCTTTAATCCCAACACTCAGGAGGCAGAGGTGGGTTGGTGAGTGCCAGGCCAGCTGGGGCAACAAGGGAGACCCTATCTCAAAAACAAAACCAACAACCACAAACAACCCTCCCCCCTTCTTTTGGTTTTTTTGAGACAGGTTCTCCCTGTAGCCCCAGCTGGCCTAGAACTCACTATGTAGACCAGGCTGGCCTTGAACAGACCTGCCTCTGCCTCCTAAGTGCTAGGACTAAAGGTGTGCCACACCACATCAAGCCTAACTTTTTAAAAAAATTTTACTTATTTTTATTTTATGTATATAAGTGCATTGCCTGCATGCAGGTAAGCGCACCCATGTTGTGCAATGCCCGAGGACGTCAGAAGAGGCTGTTGGATCCCCTGGGACTGGAGTTATGGACAGTTGTTAGCTACCATGTGGGTGCTGGGATTCAAACCTGGGTCCTTTGCAAGAACAGTCAATGTTCTTAACCGCTGAGCCATCTCTCCAGCCCCCTAACTTTTTTTTTTAAACAAGAAATTTCAAGTCCAAAGGCATCAACTTAAATAAAACAAGGTCTTGACTGGATAGAAAGTCAACATCTCTATAATAAAACACTGGCATAACCAGATGAAAACACATTTAAAAGTGTAAAGATTAACAAAGACCAGCAGCTAGAACAAGCCACTTTTTACATTCTCAAATCAACTCCACTCAGAGTGTCTCCCAAAGTGCACATTTTAACAGGGTCACTTTCTGCTGTAGTTAAGACCAGCCTCTAACTTGAGACAATCCTTCTGCCTCAACTTCCTCAAACGGGGTTACAGGTGTGAGCTACACCACTAGCTAAAACTATAAACACTGAGCCTTTGGACACTAAGGGTCCTGTAACACAGAGGGAAAAGGTACGGTCATACTCCATGAGACCATGAAAGGGGGGAAAAATCTAAATCGATGGCATCAAATGATGGTAAAGAAGATAAAAAAACCAAAAAACCAAAAAAGCACGTAAAGCCTTCCCATGTGCTGGTAATGGTCTCTGAGGTATTCTGTTCTTCTCAAAAACACCGAACAGTGTAACCAGCACTAAGGATCTGTGTGCTGAGGCAGAAGGGTAGCAAGTTCCAGGCCAAGCTGGGTTACATGGCCAGACCCTATCTAAAAAAAAAAAAAAAAGAAAACATAAAGGTATATTAATAAATGCACAAAGCTTATTTACACAAAGGGTTTTTCAATAGCCCAGGCAGGCCTTGAACCTTCAAACCTCTGGCTTCAGCTTTCCAAGTGGATGAGTGGATGAGATGGCAGCTCAAAGCTTTTCTGAAGACTGACAGGTGAAAGGTGATGACAAACATTCTGCTTCTTCAAAACATGATCTGGCCACAGTCAGACTCAGTCTCAAAAAAACAAACTAAATCACAACAAAACCTGAAAAGTGCTGCTGAGTAGAAACTGGAATGCTTGCATAGCTGCTGTGGGGAAACTCCTCAAAAACATCAAGATGAGGCTGCAGATACAGTGCATGCTTTAAGGGCCTGAATGCCATCAGGAGAAAGGATAGAGTCCAACGCAAGCACTCCCGTGTGTATCGAACGCTACCGAAAGCAGACTCAGCATCTGAACACCAGCGTTAGTCACGATAACTAAACCACATAAGCAACCAACGTCCCCAAACAGATGAACTAATAAACACAACTAATCACTTAAGACTTAAAAAGGAAAGAAGGGCTGAGGGTGCAGCGGTGACAGTGCAGTGTGAGCAGGGCCCTGGGGCCAACTCTCCACAATACAAGAGGGAAAGGAAAGGAGAGAGGTGAGTGTGAGCTTACATACTTGTGACCCAGCAGCTGAGACCATGAGGTCTGAGACCAGCTTGGGCTCCTAGGCTCCACAGCAAGATCCTACCTCAACCAAGGAACACAGAAAAAGCACTTAATACCACTGAACAGTACACTGAAATATTTAAGATGGTACATTTTATTACATACTTTACCACACTTCAAAGAAAACCAATAAGCAAAAACTAAAGATATAATCGCTAAATGAATACAATAAACCTTGGAAAACAAGAAGTCTGAGTCTGCAGGAAACCAAGAAAAATGAAATAAAAATTACAAATTCACTAGGACTCCTCCAACATTTCCAAGGGGAACACTGCCTTGACTTTCTTTTTGGAGATAAGGTTTTGCTATGTAGCACAGGCTGGCCTCAAACTCAAGATCCTCCTAGCTCAGCCCTGCAGTTCTGGGATTACAGGTATGTCCCATCAAGCCTACTACTAATGTAATGCACAGCTGCCTGCTCAAAGGGAGTCAGCTGGCCAGGGCTTACGCTAGCTTTATTTATGTCCCCATCTGAGCATGACTATACCAGGAAAATCTGCTACTGCGGTGATGTAGCCTTAAAATTAATCTTTTTTTTAAAAAAGTATTTTCTCAGCCATCATGTGGGTGTTGGGAATCGAACCTCAGTCCTCTGTAAAAGCAGTCAGTGCTCTTGAATGCTGAGCCATCTCTCCAGCCCCTAAAATTAGTCCTAAGAGTTTGGTTAACATTTAGTGCCCCACACTCGATCACCCAAGTATGAATACTGCATGCCTGTATCCTAGCACTAGAGGGTAGAGACAGAAGGATGGGTCCAAATTCAAAACCAGCCTAATCTACACAATGAGTTCCAGGCCAGCCAGACCTAATCAAACCAGCATTTGAACTTTCAGGGCTAAAATGTCTCTTGTAACCTCAAAAAAAGGTACAATCCTAATTAAGTCTTAGTTCATAGAGTTAGAATTTAGTAACAAAAATATAAAACC